TCTAGTGTCTAGGACAAGGTCAGACAAGCACGTGTTTGGCCATTATGACTGCGGAAAGGGGAGCTGGTCCTTTCAATTTAAAAACATTCCAAGATCCAGAAAAAAATTCAAATCAAAAAATAAAACTTAAAACACTTCTGATCTCTGATATTTTAGATAAAAATACCTAACCTTTGATTAAAAACAAAACAAAACAAACAACAACAACAACAATAACAACTCTACTTAGAGGCTGGAGAGATGGCTCAGCAGCAAAGAGCACCGGATGTACATGCAAGCTCACAGGCAAGCTCACACACATACAAATACATCCTTAAATCAACTCTACCTAATCGGAAAGATTGTCTTTTATAGGGATAACAAGGACTCTAAGATTCTAAATGGGACTGGGAACAAGTTTAGAAAGATCTGCAGAGAGCAAAGAAGTTTTTTGTCCATCAAGACTTTGGCAAGTCTTGATGGACATTGCCTAAGGATACCAAGCAGTAATAAACTCTAGACACTTGGTTGGGGACCCTATTGCCTAACAAGACTTCCTCAATGGAAAGACTGTATACTGATATTTGTAATCCAGGCAAACCTCTCACCCACCTGTGCATGGCAGGTGTGTGTATGTACCCTGGCCTTTTAAAAGGAAAAGTCCACCCACTTTTGTCCCCGCCCACCCCGTGCCTCCCTCCTCCCATTTTCCTGGGGCAGACAGGACTTTTCCTGTCTCCCTCTTGTGTCTCCTCTGTGTCTTTGTGTCTCTTTACCTCTTTTCTCTTTCTTCCCCCCACTTCCCTTTCTAATAAAGCTTCTCACTTAAGCTCTGTCTGCCTGGCATGTTTGTCCCTTGCCCGCCATGAAATCTACCATGGTCCCCCTCATGCTTTATATAACCCTAACCCTGACACCTTCCCCACAAATGAAAGTGCTTTAGTATACAAGATAACCACAAATAAATAAGTACACTTAACTATTACCAAACACTGTACTATAAGAAGCCAGGCATTCTGGGCTTTAGGTAGTATCTCATTAACCTTCATCACCATCATATAGGCATCCATTTTGTAAATGAGGAAACCAAGTCTCAGAACAGCTAATTCTCCAAAATTTAAAAACCAGCCAGTAGTAAAAATAAAATATACTGAATCCCAATGGATTTGCATCTAGAGGCTTAGTGTATAGCTAATTATTCCTCCCACAGGAAGAAAAGGCCCAAATCACATCTGGTTGGGAAAGCAGAAAGACATTGAAAATGCTTTTTTTTTTTTAAAAAAGATGGGCAGATTTTTTAAAAATATTTTTGGGGGGCTGGAGAGATTGCTCAGCAGTTAAGAACACTAGCTACTCTTTCCAGAGGAGCTGGGTTCAATTCCAAGCACCCATGTGGTGGCTCGAAATCATCTGTAATTCCAGTTTTGGTGGTTCCACCTCTCTCTTCTGGGCTCCTTGGGCACTGCACACAGGTGGTACATAGACATACATGGAGGCAAAACACTCATATACATAAAATAAAATAAATTAAAAAATAAAAATTAGACCTTCACACTAGTACATACTTCTTGTAAGAAAAACTAGAAAGTACAAAGTAGAAAATGATTTCCAGTTTTGAAACCTAGGGGTTAATTTTGTGTTTAGGTTTGAATCTTATGTAGACATCTCAGTATGGAGGTGAAAACATGCCAATATCCAAACAGACAAAAAACCCCAAAAACCCAAATCCAAAACACTTCTAATTCCAAGTGTTTTGGATAAGGGATACTTAACTTCTGATAAAAACCATCTATACATACTTATCTGAAACAAAAAGGTATGTTTTATAGGTAGGGACACCGATGACTCATTTCTGTATGAGAATGGAGACAAAATTAAAAATATCATGAGTTGGCTAGTTTTGACAACTTGACACAACCTATAGTCATCAGAAAGGAGGAAACCTCAGTTGAGAAAATGCCTCCACAAGATCAGGCTATAGGCAAGCACATTAGGCATTTTCTTTTAATTAGTAAAGCTCATTGTGGGTAGGCTCACACCTGGGTTGATGATTCTGGTTCTATAAGAAAGTAGGTTTGAGCTGGACGGTGGTGGCGCATGCCTTTAATGCCAGCATTCAGGAGGCAGAGGCAGGCAGATCTCTCTGAGTTCCAGACCAGCCTGGTCTACAAGAGCTAGTTCCAGGACAGCCTCAGAGAAACCCTGTCTTGAACCCCCCCACCAAAAAAAAAAAAAAAAAAAAAAAGCAGGTTGAGCAAGCCAGGCTGAGCAGTCAGTAGGCAGCATCCCTCCGTGGTGGCTGAATCAGCTCCTGCCTCTTGGTCCCTGCCTTGACTTCCTTGACTAATGAACGGTAATGTGGAAGTGTAAACCAAATAGATTCTTTCCTCTCCAAGTTGATCGTGGTGTTTCATCACAGCAATAGTAACCATAAGACAATGACTAGCATTCTTTATTAAAAACTTTTTATTAACAGAAAAAATAATACTTTGGTGATTGTAGGGCCCAGGGCAGCTTGGTACACACTTGGCATGTCTGGCTCAATAGACACCAACCAGAAAGTAGGCCTGAAGTTTCAGCTTAACACCTGACTCCAGGAAAGACCAAAAACTGAGACCACCCAGGCACTACCCAGGAATAGACCATCCAAGGAGAAAATACTTAACATTCCAACCATTATGGATAGGATCACGTGGAAAGATTTATCATAACATCCCCTTTCACCAAGACACTTCCAAACAAATGTCAGCTCATCAGGGGGTCCTGAACCTCAGAAATCCCTTACCCCTGCCTCTGCTGTGATAAAAAAAAAAAACAAAAAAAAACACCCAACTGAGCTCCAGGCTCTCTGATTGTGCCAATGCATTAGATACCTGGAGAGTTCAAGTTCAAACTTGAATAAAGGCTCTTTGCTATTACATATGGGATTTGGTCTCCTTGCTGGTTTTGGGGGGACTCTGCCATCTGGGTATAACAATTAGCCTTCATCATTAAACATGTTTAATGTTTAATATAGCCAGGCAGTGGTGGCAAACACCTTTAACTTGGGAGACAGAGGCAGGCAGATCTACAGAGTGAGTTCCAGGACAGCTAGGGCTGTTACATAGAGAAACCCTGTCTTGGGGGAGGGGGTTAATATAAAAATAGCTGCATTTTTTTTTAGCTGCATTTTTTTTTAAGCACTAAGGATTAAGTCCAGGATAAAGTGCATGCTATATAAACACTCTACCTGTGAATGATAACCCTGGTCTAAGGTGCATTTATTATTGTTGGTGTGTGCCTGTGGTATATGTGTGAGGTGCTAGGGGATATAAGAGCTTGTGCCATGTTAGCTTGATAAGCACTTTACAAGAAATCACAAGCCTAGCCTTAGCACCCCCCCTCCCCCCCTCTTTTTTTTTTTTTTTTTTTTTTTTTTTCTTTTTTTTTTTATTGTTTTTTTTGAGACAGGGTTTTTCTGAGTACCTTTGGAGCTTGGCCTGGAACTCAACTCACTTGGTAGAGGCCAGTCTGGCCTCCACCTCACTGAGATCCATCTGCTTCTGCCTCTGCCTCCCAAATGCTGGGATTAAAGGCATGCACCACTGCCATCTGGCCTTTAAAACATTGTTTAAGTGGGTTGATTTTTCACCCAACATTGTATCTTCTCAAGATAGAAAGAATGATTCCACAACAGTGTTTCTCTAAGTTTATTTTCTCAAGATCACTTAAACTCCTTAAAATTATTGGTGTGCACGACCCCCAGATCTTCTAAATTGTGGTTTGTACCAATATTTACTAATTACAGTTTAAGACAGAGAAAAACTTCTGTTTTTTTTTCGGGGGGGGGGTGGATAGGGCCTCACTCTGCAGCTAGACTTGATTTGGAACTATGTAGTTCTGCTGGCTTCCAACTTGTAACAATCTTCCTATCTCAGCTTCTCAAATGTTAACTAACATTATAGCTGTGAACTATCCACGCCTAGTTTATAACCATTTAAACATAATAACCAATATTATTACTAAAATAAACATCTTTCTTTCCCTTTTTTCTTCTCCTTTTTCTGTTTTTGAAATAGTATCTCACTGTGTAGCTCCAGCTGTACTAGAACTCTGAGTAGACCAGGATGGCCTTGAATTCAGAGATCCACCAGTCTTTGCCCCTGGAGTGGTTAAGGGTGTGTGCCATTACACCGGGTGTAAACAGCATTTAAAATGAAAATTAACTGAAAAAAAAAAAAACTACTCCCAAATATGGGAATGATTATTTTTTTTTCAAATTTCTTAAGTTTAATAGACGATAGCTGGATTTAGTTCTGACTCTTATCTATTGTAATGTGTTGCTTTGGTTGGAGTACGTTAAGAAAACTCGACCTTTACAGATCCTGCACTTAAAAAAAAATACTTTTAAACTTTTAAGGCAAGCGAGATAGCAGAGAACCATTCCCCTCAAATTGTCCTCTGACCTCCAAACATGCGTTGTGGCACGTGCGCGCACACACATACAAAATTTAAAGGAATTTTTTTTTTTTAACTTAAAAAAGGGGCCAGGTGGCTGCCGAGGTGGGACGAATGTGTGGAACTAGAGACCGAGCTAGGACATTCGTTTTGAAAAGAAAAGAAAAAAAAAAAGACAGAAAACAAAAAACAACAGATGATGTTAAATTAACTCTCGATCACCTTCGTCCTCCAAGCCTGGTCTTGGCCTTGGGTGCTTCCTCCTAGATCAGAACTATCCTTTGCATCTAGATGCACGAATGCATAAATCTGCAGTTTGTGTCAGCTTCTTTCCCGCTCGGTGTTTCCAGATGCTTCCCTACATCTACCTTTTTCTCTTCCCGCAGTTTTCCTAAGGGCGTTGTATCCGGTTTGTGTTCCTCTCACGACAAAAGGACTAGGTTTTGTCACCTCACCACGCCTACCTGGGTTAAGGGCTACAGACGGAGCCGCGAGGACTCCCCTAGGGGCTCGGCCTGGGGACTAAACACAGGGGGTGGAAGCCTACGCCTGGCAGGTCGGGAGCCTGCTTCCGGGAAGCCGACCGGAAGCCTCTCCGGGTGCTGCGACAAACCTGACTTCAGGGGCCGTCGTAAAAGTGTCGTCTCCGGCGCGTCGGGCTGGCCACAGGTTTCCGCTCGCCGGGGCCGGGGGTCGGGAACTGCGGGCGTTCGTTTCCCTTAAAATGGCGGACGAGGAGACGGACGGCGCCGAGAGGATGGACGTCAGCCCCGAGCCTCCCCAGGCCCCTCAGCGGCCGGCCTCGGTGAGTCTTCCCCCGCCAGCGCCTTTTGTCCTCTCCCCCAGGAGTCTCCCGCCGCGCCTCGGAGGGTGTGGGGCTCTGCCTTCTGTGGCGTTGCCGGGGAAGGGGAGTCCTAGGATTGAAGGACCCCCTCGCCCCCGTAAAGTTAGTGGCCACCTACACACATTCCTGCCAGCCAGGTCCGCGGAGTCTAATGACTGTCATCCATTTAGTCTCAACGTGCTGAGGCTCGCGTGTCTCTATTTTGAAGTGGAAAGAAACCCGTGCTGTATTATTAGGTGGTTTGCTGTGGGAGCTGAGGGGAGGTTAGAGAAGGCCATTTTTTTTTTTTTTCTTTTCCCCTTCGGTAGACGCATTGCTGACTCCTCTCGTTGATAGGAATCCAGGACGCAGCAGCACCTGCTGTGATATCGCATAGGTGGTTGGACTTGATAGTGAGTGTTGCAGCTGTCATGTCAAGGTGTCCATTACGGTAGCGTCTTGAGAACACCAGGTCTGGCCCCGCAGTGAGGGAAATCTGTCGCTTGTCACTGCCTTTTAAATGTGAAGAAGTAAGAGAAATATCCTTAAAGAATAATGGAATATATACTGGGCTCTTGGATTTTGAAAGAATGAGAAAGCAGAGGTAGTGAACACAGTTGAGTCATAGTCTGGCTGCAGGGAGAATACTAACACTGTAGTCTAAAAGGTGGGGTAATGTTAGCAAATGTTCTCACGTGGTCCCTTCAGACAACTAACTAGTGGTGAGAGAGATACTTACGAAGTACTAAATATGGATTATGACATGTTTTTTGTTGTTGTTTTTTGTTTTTCGAGACAGGGTTTCTCTGTATTGCTTTGGAGGCTGTCCTGGAACTCGCTCTGTAGACCAGGCTGACCTCGAACTCAAAGAGATCCACCTGCCTCTGCCTCATGAGTGCTGGCATTAAAGGTGTGCACCACCAACACCTGGCTTGATCATGGCATGTTTTAATCAGTTTATCTGTAGTTGCATATGAAAAGTGTGGGATATAGACACACGCACTAATGCATTATATACACACATATTTGTTAGTGCAGCTGGTTTGTTTTGTTTTGTTTTGTTTTGAGACAGGGTTTCTCTGTGGCTTTGGAGGCTGTCCTGGAATTAGGTCTTGTAGGCCAGTCTAGTCTCGAACTCACAGAGATCCGCCTGCCTCTGCCTCCCGTGTGCTGGCGTTAAAGGCGTGCGCCACCACTATCCGGCTAGTGCAGTTTTTATAGTTTTAATAAACTCATTCTTGACTTTCTTTATCCCATCAGACACTTGAGCATTGTTTTATGAGACAAGAGAATGACTCAGAAATGAGTCAACCACACGGACTAGAGAGAATGTCTGTAAGATTAAAAACCCCATAAGGACAGAGTTGGAATAAGGATATATACTAGGTCAGCACTTGGCAATCTTCCTCCTCCATCTCAAAAAGTAGTTGAAACTCATTTCACCCTGGTAGTTAAATTCAGATGAAAACAATTATAGAGATGACAAGGGATGAGGATGAGAAGCTACAACATGTTTCCAAGTATTGAGCAAAACTCAAGCATGTATGCTAGGCAAGGTTGCTTCTTGTGAGCTATAGTGCCATCCCTGCAACATCTTAGGCTAAGGCAGAAGGATCATTTAACTTCAGGAATTCCAGGCAAGCCCTGGGCCACACGTGAAACTCCATTTTAAAACATAAATGGGAAAACGATTCGTAAATAGACTCATGTGCTTTTATTTTGTACTCTATTGTAACTATGTTGTAGTCATAAGAGTTGTAGTTTCCTATTGCCAAAAATGAGTAATGTTTATTTAAAGTTTTGACATAGTAATTGTTTCCCACTAGCACTGTAAAACCCCATTATTAAAACCATAAAACATCCATTAATTTGGTGTTGGAGATAATGGTATAGAAATTGTGTTAGACCCCTGAAAACTCAGGCCTCCGGGGTCCCAGCCCAGGACCTCGGTCACCCCAATCACCAGGCGGATTTGAAAGCTTGCTGCAAACTGCATGAGGCTTTATTGTTGTTTAACGAGCTAACCCCATGTGAGCTTGGGTCTTTCACCCACCTTCCATGGCAGATGGCTAGCAAAAACAACTTGAACTGGCTGCAGAGATCTTGTAGGGTAGCGTAAGGGGAGTGTCTAGGGATATGCACAGGCTCAGGATTGGTGTGCTTCCAGGCTTGGAGGGCTTGCCCTGTGTTGATTGGCCAATTAGTTGTTATAGCCCATAGGCCCTCCCAGGGTGGTGGCTATGCTCTGCGTGTCATTGCTGTGCACATGTGCCTAAAGCACACTCAGAGCCGTAAAGCATAGCGCCGCCAGCTAACTTCTGATTGGTTCCTTGCCATGAGGCAGGCATCTGACTTCTAGTGACTAGGGCAAGGTCATGGCAAGCACGTGTTACTGTCATGGCTGCCAAAATGGGGAGCTGGTCCCTTCAATTGAACAGGAGCTGGGCTTTGGCACATGCCTTTAATCTGAGCACTCAGGAGGCAGATGCAGGTGGATCTCTGTGAGTTTGAGGCCAACCTGGTCTACAGAGCTAGTTCCAGGACAGCCAGAGTTACACAGAGAAACCCTGTCTTGACCTCCACCCTAACCCCCCCCCCAAAAAAAAAAGAAAGAATTGGACAGGAATCTGTAGCAAATACTCTTTCAAAGAATAATATATTTCTTTAGACAAAGCTTTACAAAGTAGCAAGGAGAGGTGTTATATAGCCTCAGGGAACTCAGGTGATACAAATAATATAATGATCAAAGAATTTAGGTTCCAGATAGAGTGGTATAAGTGGATACAGACCTATGACTCTGAAGCCTAATAACCCCTTTGGGCTTTTTGTTTGTTTTTGTTTTTTGGCTTGAATCTTTCTGCTTGACCCCAGAGATCATCCTATTTCCTGTACTTTTAAAAAGCTTCTGTTTTCCATTTTGTTCTCCCTACTTAACTACCCTTGTTGTTAAGCCAAAGTTGCTCAGCTTGAGTCCTCAGCACCCTACCCCCATTTGATTAATTTGTATCTCAAATCACAGTCTGTGCTGGTAGAAACAAAATAACAAATACAGAATAGCTACAGAGTTTTCATAAAGATTTCTGTTCTCCCCAGTACTCGGGAGGCAGAGACAGGTGGATCTCTGTGAGTTCGAGGCCAGTCTGGTCTACAGCGTGAGTTCTAGGATAGGATCCAAAGCCACACAGAGAAACCTGTCTCAAAAAACCAATACTACTACTACTATTACTACTACTACTACTACTACTACTAATAATAATAATAATAATAATAATAATAATAATTCCATTCTCATTAGAGTGCTTTTCTAGTTATAGTTGCTGATTTCCTTAAACTAAATTTCCTTTTTAGATACAGGATTGTATTAACATTGCTATCCACATTGTCTCTCATCACTTACCATGTAAAAAGGAAGGAAATGATAGTGCTGGCAAGATGGCTGAGAGGTGCTTATTACACAAGCCTGGGGACCTTAATTTGATTATTAAAACCAATGTAAATGTGGAAGGAGAGTATGAACTCTACAAAGTTGCCCTCTGACCTTCATGCTGTGGCACATGCAGCCACCTGCCCACACACAATAATAATAATTTTTTAAAAATTATAATGAAATGATAGTTGAGAGTTATTGAACATTTAATAAAAGCCATTGCTTAGTATTCACTAAGAGATAAAAATAAAAAAATAATTTGACTTAAAATTCATCAAGAGAATTGACTCTTGGATCTTAAAAGGTCTAAGAAGCTACATATCACAAGTATGCCCTAATGCTATTTGGAAGATACTAGTTTAGGATTGATGGTTAAGGTTATAGGAAGGGCTGGGCGTTGGTGGCGCTCGCCTTTAATCCCAGCACTTGGGAGGCAGAGATAGGCGGATCTCTGTGAGTTCAAGCCCAGCCTGGTCTACAAGAGCTAGTTCCAGCACAGCCTCCAAAGCCACAGAGAAACCCTGTCTCGAAAAACAAAAACAAAACAACAACAAAAAAAAGGTTATAGGAAGGAAAGGTTATAGGAAGGAATAATATCTTTAAGGTCAAGTTGTGTGCATATGCATGTACATATACCCAGGAACCAAACAACCTAGGAAATAAGAGTATAACAGTGTAGTTTTTAGGAAACAGTAATTTATTGGCTCCATGACAGGGACTGAAAAAATTGGAAATCCAGAAGGTTTTGGGGTGGTCTTGGGGTGGTCTATCAGAATAGCTGCTTTCTTTTCCTGGATTCCCCCCTAAATTCCATCTTAAAATATGTCACTTGGTGTGGTACTGTGATCTTTTTTCTGTGTATTCACGTTGCATAGGTGATGCCATCCAGTCCCTACAGTTTTACAAACTATCTATGTTCATTTCCCAGCTTATAGCTTAGTTCATCTCTCTTCTGAGCTTCAGAATCATAAATTTAGTTGCTTGCTTGTCTCCACAAGAATATCTGGTAGGTGTTTGGAAAAGAGAGAGCAAGCTGGGCAGTGGTGGTGCTCACCCTTAATCTCATCACTCGGGAGGCAGAGGCAGGCAGATCTCTGTGAGTTTGAGGCCAGCCTCATCTACAGAGAAACCCTGTCACAAAAAAATCCAAGAGAGGGAGGAAGAGGGGGAGAGAGACAGAGACAGAGACAGAGACACATACACACACACACAGAGTGCAGCTGTAGTTACCTGCAATATAGCTTGTACTTGAGAGATGATTACAGGAAGACAGAATATATCAATTTGAGGAGGATTTTGGAAATGTGATGGAAGCAAAGATGACTTGCTTATTAAGTTGAAGGGAAATAAAAGAAACATGACATCTGTACCTCTAGCTTTTGGTCTAAGCGTCCATGGTAGATTTTAGGAACAGACAATAGGAAGACAAATCAAGAGTTTTGTTATCTTTGTCTCAGTACTGGACACTTCCACTTTAGCTCTTGAATACAAACATTTCTCTGTCTTTATACTAATCTAAGCCACCACTTGTTGTTGCCTAGACAACTATAACCTT